TAAAGGGGTTGAAGATGATTGTTTGAGCCCAAAGCAAACGAACCACCTGGGAAAAATCAGCTCTGACTTGCTGCTCTGGAGCCCTTCACACTGTCTGTGTGAGTCCTTTGATAAGCAGCCCGTGGGGAAGCCCAGAAACACGCTCTGGAATTTTCCAGCTGTGTCATCAGTGGAGTCTGCACCCGCTGGTGCAAGGAAAACCATCCCCGAGCCCTGCAGCCTGCAGGACTGGTTCCTGCAGAGCCAGCCCAGCACAAACAGCCCAGACCCGACCGCCTGGACCTCCTCCCTCCATCCAGGGGCAGCAGCAGATCGAGTTACACTCATCAGCCCATTCTCCGTGCGGGATTCCTCCTCCCTCAGGAAGGGATCCCTACCCACAGCCTCCGACACCAGGGCGAGGAACTGCCGCACCCCGGGCTGCTCCCGAAGCTCCTCGCAGGGCCAGGCTGAGCACAGCTACCGGCGGCCGACCCTTCCGGCGCGGTGTGCCCCAGCGCAACGCCCTTCACCGGGGGCTGCCCGGGCCCGCCGCCGCCGGCAGCGAGCGGAGCCGGCCGAGAGCGGGGCGCACAGCCAGAGCCGGCGGGTGCCGCCGCTGCCGGGAGCCCGCCGGGGCGGGAAGCGGCCCTCGGGCCTCCGCCGGCTCCGTGAGGGGAGGGACGCGGCCGCCGGTGAGAGACACGGTGGAAGGGGACACAGCCCGCCCGCACCGCCCCCGCCGTGCCCGGCAAGCCCCGGTAAACCCCGTTAATCCCCGGTAAGACCCGTTAATGCCCGGTAATTCCCCGGTCCCTCCCGGTGCCGGTACCTGCCCCGGCGGCGCCGCCTCAGCCCCGCCGGACGGTGACGTGCCCTTCCGCTTACGTCACACGGCGGCGCGCGGGGCCGCGCCTGCGCGGGGAGGGGGCGCCCTGAGGGGAGAGGAGGGGAAGATGGCGGGTGTGGGGGGGATGATGATGGTGAGGGACAGGACACGCGAATGGCTTCAGAGGGACACAGACAGGGGCAGGCTGGCAGGAAGTTCTGCCTTTGTGAGCGTGGGGAGGCACAGGGTGCCCAGAGAAGCTGTGGCTGCGCCATGATCCTTGGAAGTGTCGCAGGGCGGGCTGGACGTGGGAGCTTGGAGCAGCCTGGGATAGGGGAGGTGTCCCTGCCATGGGTGGGATTGTTAATGTCCCCTCCACCCAAAGCGGTCCGTGTTTCCGTGACAGGTTTGGGGGGCTGCAGGGAAGGTGGTTCCCAGCACAGCCCCCCTGCCCTGGGACCCCCATTTGGGGTCAGGGCTCCTCAACCCCAGGGGAGAAAAACAAAAGTAACCACACACAGAACATCACCAGCAGCCATTGCCCATGGTCTTTATTATCTTTTTTTTCCAGAAAAGAAAAAAAAAAAAACACCCACATTTTACATAGTTGGTACAAAAACAAAAATACAATGAGCAGAAGGGGGGAAACCTGCAGCAGCAGCAGGAGCTGAGGGTGTCTCTGGCAGGAAATGTCTTTGGGAAGTGTGAGTAACTGCTCAGGGGTCACCCTGAGCCCCCCACACACACAGCACCCCGCATCCCCTCCCTCCCACCCCACAAAATTCACGGGTTCCACACCAACGCTTTGGTTGCTAGCAGTAAACATGGATTACATTCTTCCGTCTCCTCGTGGACATTTTTGGGACTCAAGGCTCTCGCCCCAGGGCAGACACCCCCTTGTGAGGGACATCTTTGTTCCATTTCTCATACATTCAGACACTGCCGTGTCACAGACCCTGAGCGTGCCCCATGCTCCCTGTCCCCTCATGCATAGTGCCCCTGGGCAGGGTGGGCCGTGATGCAGCAATTCAGTTAATTATTGTCAGCAGAAGGGAAGAGCCACAACGGCCAGCACAAGGAGATGCCAATCAACCCCATCTCCTCCAGCGTGGCTTCCCAGCACAGATAAAAATCCCTGTTTTCTTAGATCCCAGCACCCCGGGGGAAACCTGAGTGATTCCCTATTGGCTTTGCCCAGGGCAGGGATGGTTACAGAGCTCCCACCTGGCAGCTCCTTGTGGGAGAGCAGATCCATCTCCCTGCTCCATAACCTATTAGATGCTTTGGATATTTTAATTTTTTTTCCTTTTTTTTTTCTTTTTTTCTTTTTTCCTCTTATTTTTTTTGTAAACAATAATCAAGGAGAATACTGAGAGAAAGTGGGAAGGTTTGCAGAGGTATTTACACACACTAGACACCTGACAGAGAAATCACCAAACCATTAAAGTGGGAGCAGGGGGGAAGGTCCTACAGAATTCTTGGGGATAGAGAGGAATGAGGGGGGCAGATACAGAAATTGGGGACAGATACAGGGATGAGGGGCAGAGACAGGAATGAGGGGCAGATACAGGGATGAGGGGGTAGGTACAGGGACAAGGGGGGCAGATAGAGGGATGAGGGGGTAGGTACAGGGATTGGGGGGGTAGGTACAGGAATTGGTGGGGCAGATACAGGAATTGGGGGCAGACACAGGAATGAGGGGGCAGATAGAGGGATTGGGGAACAGATACAGGGACTGGGGGCAGACACAGGAATGAGGGGGCAGGTACAGGGACTGGGGGCAGCAGTTTCCCTGGCACAGCCGAGGTGCTGGGGGGAGGCCCAGAGCCACCCCCCAAGGCTCTATTGCATTTACCCCGTCAGACTAAAGCTGTTTTCCTGAAGCAGTTTTGTACAGATCCTTTGCTAGTCAAAAAATAAAAGCCCTTCCCCCCTCTCCCAAGAAGAGACCACCACCTCACCCTAAACTACTGGAGCAGGGCAGGGAGCTGCTGGGGGCTGCTCTCCATCCCCCTCAACGCCCACGTGCCGGGGGTCTCTGGGCTCCAGCAGCCTCAGTGAACCCCCCAGAGCCCCCCATCCCTGGGGATGGAGTGGGTGCTCCTGTCTGAGCCAGCCCTGCCCCACAGCTAAACCTACTGCTACTAAAAACCAGCAGAAAACGTGCCCACAGCTGGACACCCTCCCTGGGAAGGCTCCAGCCACCCCCTGGGCTGCAGGAGGAGTGTTCATTCCCCAGAACCTGGCAGCCAGAGATTCTCCTAGCCACGGTGAGTCAGCATTTGGGGGAAGACAGGAAGGAGAAAATGATGGAGCACTTCTCCCCTGTCCTGGGAGGCCATGGACAGCCAGCCCTGGGCTCGAGGGTGAGGAAGGGCAGGGACTGAGGGTAACCCTGTCTCCCAACACTCCCTGGTCACTGTCTGCTCTTCCCCTGTCCCCCTGCATGGGGCTGGGACCCCCATCCTGACCCACCAGCCTGCTGGCAGCCTGTGTGCCACCCCAGCCCGTGGGCACGGGGTGCACTGGGGTGTTCCCATCAGCTGAGAGCCAGCAGGGCAGAGAGGCAGAGCACAGGCCTCAGAAGCCACCAGGCTGGCAGAAATTCAGGAGCTGGCACAGGCTCTAGCCCCTGTTTCCTGCCCGTGGCACTGCCTGGCTTCTCCATCCCCACACACGGATCCACAGACCCAAATCCTCCATCAGTGCATGGGGAAGGGAAAGAGACCACTGCAACACAGTTAAAAAGGAAACAAATCCCAAACACACCAAAAAACACTTGAAAAGCTCAACAACACGTCAGCCCACCTAGCAAACATCCAGTGAGGTAGATCTACACTTCCAATACAAACTTCATCATTTCTTTGTGCTGTTAGAAAAAACCCTCCTCTCTGTCCAGCACTGGGCTACAGAGGCATTTTATCCCTGAGATTGCTCGAATACCTGAGAATAAATTGCAGGAATTATGTCCTTTCTCTCCTATTTTTTTTTCTTTTTTTTTCCTTTTTTTTTTCCTTAAAGATTAAAATATACAAAAATACAAAACCAGAATATTTATATTAAAAAAAAAAAAAAGAACAACAAACCCAAAACAAAGACGACAAACAAACCCAAAGATACGTCATTCACGCACGTCCTAGTGCAGCTTTCACTTGGCCTTGGCTTGGGGGGCTCCCGGGAGAAGGGGGGGTCCACCGGGGCCAATAAATAAAGGCAAGGCTTGGGAAGGGCCCTGGGGAGAGGGGACAGCAGCCACTCACCCGGGCCAGCCTTGTCCCCTGTCCCTGGGGAGGCTCAGCCCCAGAGGCAGCGGGCTCTGCAGGTGGGGTGGGCAGGAGGAGCACGGGGTGTCCCCAAGGGGTGTCCCCAGCACAGGGGTGTCCCCCACAGGGGTGTCCCCAACAGGGGGTGTCCCCAGCAGGGGTGTCCCCAGCACAGGGTGTCCCCAGCACACGGGGTGTCCCCAAGGGGTGTCCCCAGCACAGGGGTGTCCCCAGCTCCACCATCCAGAGGCTGGGAGAAGCCTGAGAGGGGAAGAGCTGGCTGCTTAAAGCACCTCGTGCTCTCGGGGCCGGCACTTGGGGAGGATTAGGGGGGAAAAAAAGTGATTTTCCTTTGGCTTTCCATCCCCCAGGTTGCAGCTTGCAGCCCACAAACTGCTGGTGTTACTCCAGCCCTGAGAGAGGATCCACATCCTCCCAGAGCGAGCCCAAACCCGGGCTCTGCTGCTGGCAGCAATGGAGCAGCCTGGAAAAATCACAAATCCTCACACGTCCCGGAAAGTGAGAAGCCCCGAGGAGCAGCGGGAGCCGCGGGACCGGCCCACGGGCGTCTCCCTGTGCTGCACAGCCAGCCTGTCAGCCCTCCCTCAGCCTGACCCGGGCAGGAGCAGATCCCCAGCTCCTCCGGGCTGTGCCAGAGCCCGTGCGGAGCTCGGGGAACACGGAGCCATCAGCTCCTCCCTGGGATGTTGCCCCTCTGCTCCTCCTCCCCAAGACACCACTGCCTGCCTTAACTTAGGAAAAGAATAAAGGTTAATCAAGTGTGGTCGGGGTTTTCAGCAGGAAGAAGCGTGTTGGGTGCTGCCTTCCCCTGGTTTGGGACACCCTGATGCCAACAGGGCTTTTCCCAGCCTGGCCGTGGGGGAAAGGTCTGTGCAGGGACACCAGGTCCCCGCCGCCAGCGCTGCCACCTGCCCTCCCCAGCCCCTGCCCTGCCCCTTGCCTTGCCAAAGCCTTCTCACCCCGGTGGAAGCCGCCTCTCCCCGCCACCCAGCATCATTCCCGGCTCTCGGGGAGGAGGGCCGGGCTGTGCATGTCCTCCTCCTCTCGGAAGTAGGCGGGCTTTCCCTGCGAGCTGGGCGACTGCTGTGCTTTGGCGGGGCAGTTGGCGACCATGTGGCTGATGCTCTGGCAGAAGTGGCACTTCTTGGGCTGCGGTGGCAGCTTGCACTCCTTGGCGTGGTGGTCCAGCCCGCCGCAGTTGTAGCACCTGTGTGAGGGGAGGACGGACAGAATGAGGCGGGAGGATGCTGGGACCATGCCCGGGACCCATCCGGCTCCTCAGCCAGAGCTGGGCTCGGTTTTTGGGGTGGGTGGTGGCCCCAGGGTTGGTCCCTGCAGAGCTCCAGGGGCTCAGTGGTGCTGCTGGTACCCAGGAGATGGCAGCAAACCTCTGCACTGGAGCCACACACAGGGGACAAAACGGGATGTGGGGGGTTCCACCCCTCTGGCTCCATGGGCGTGCTGCTCCTGTGTCTCCAGACCCCACTCCCGGGGTTACACTGCCCCAGGACAGGCAAAGGAACGACTGGCATCCCCAGCTGTCACCGTGTGGGGACAATGCCAGGGGTGGTTTCTCGCAGGGCTGCACCTCTCATGGGTGCCACCCTCACACAGGAGCTGCCGTGTCCATTTTAAATCCTGCATCCATGCAGGACAGCCACAACCCTTTTCTCTTTCCTTTTGCTTCACAATTCCTTTCTGGTTAATTAAAAAAACTGTTTATGAGAGCAGCTGAGTAGGGTGGACAGCATCCACTGGCAAAACTGTGACGGGGCATCCCCAGGCAGCCAGGATGGAGAGGATGGGAGAGGGGGGATGAAGGGCTGGCCAGAAACTTTCCCCGGAACTCCCACCCCGCCATGGTCCGGCTGTTTCCTTCCCACAAGGAAAGGCTTCTCTTGGAGCCAGCAGCCCCAGCGGGGCTCGGGGAGCCTGCCCGGGGTGTCCCTGACCTCTGCCCCTCCTGCTCTTCCCCTCCCAGCCGCATCTGCCGCTCATTAGCACCGCAGGAAGCTGCCTGCCCAGACCAGGGGTCACCGCCCGGCCCCGTGCCCATCCCCGGGGTGCCCGGCAGCCCCCGGTGCCCGCGGGGCTCGGCTCCAGCCCTCACCGGTCTCCTTTGGACCTGCGCTTCTGGAGGCTCTTCCCTTTGGGCCTCCTGTCGCTGCCGATGCAGAAGACGCCCCCGGGGCCGGTCACCCGGATGGACTCCAAGCCTTTGGATGATTTCTTGAAGGTGAACTCGACGGCTTCGCCCTCCTTCAGGCTGCGGAAACCCTCCATGTGGAGCTTGCTCTGGGGGGCACAGGGAGAGGAGGGGGTCAGCACGCAGCTGGGTGTTCTCCAGGCACAGCACAAAGGCCTGCGTGGCACAAGAGCTGAAAATGTCCCCCTCTGACTGTCCCTTGGTTCTGTTTTTTTAATACAAAAGAATCTCGAGGTTTTGCACAGCGATAGGAGCTGGGCTCGTGGCAGGCTCTGTAGCAAGGCTGGCACTGCCGGCCCCCCAGCCCAGCTCAGCTCCAGCCCTTTAACTGCCTGCAATCATTAATTAAGCAGCCATTTGGCACGGGATTATCGCTGCTGGGAGCTTCTCCCATTCCTTCCAGGAACACCACATCGGTTTTCACCACACAATCAAAGCAGGGGAGCCAAGAAAAACCCAGGCTGGGGAGGGGGGGTTGTGAGGTGGCAGGAGAACCCCCCTCCACTTTGAGGGGCTCTATTTCAGCAGAACAAATCCCCAAGGAGCAGAGCTGGGTGAGGCAGGGGGGAATTCTCCCCCCCTGTCCCCTGAGCATCCCGGGGGCAGCAGCTCCAGCTCGGCATCCCCGCAGCTCTGCCAGGCAGCCACAAGGAGCATGAGCAGCGAATTCGGGGGGATTTGCTGGCGGAGGGAGGAGCAGCTCCTGCCGGGGGCATTCCCAACGCCTGCGCGGCTGCAGCACCGCGCTGCATCGCATTTATGAATGGAGCATCTTCCCCATTCATGGCCGGGGGCTCCCGTTCTCCCGTTCTCCCCGCACCCCCCGGGACGTCCCTCCCCGCTCCAAACCTCACCGGGAGCCACGAGCAAACAGCCCGCGTGGAAACAGGGAGGGGAGAAGTGGAGCTGTGGGGTTACAGGAGTGAATTGTTCTTGGCAGGGTCTTGCGGGATGTCCGCGGGCGCGGGAGAAGTGGGAGCAGGGCGGAGCTCGAGGAGCAGCCCTTGAGAGCCCTTTTTCTGCTGCTTTTCCCCTCCCTTTCTGTGCCTGGGGGTCCAGCTCAGTCTGGGACAGACCCCAAGTCACCCCCAGATCCCCTGGGCTGCTGGGCTGGGATCCAGGGACCCTCCTTTGCTCCTGCTGCCTCAAGGGACAGCCAGACCCCGAGCTCCCAAATGACAACAAGGACATGACAGAGTGTCACGGCCACCTGTGCCCACCCAGGGCAGTGCCAGCACCACCAGCCCCTGGCAAACCCCCCCGTGACCAAACACTGCTCCCCAGCACCCACCCAGCTGCCTATGCTGAGCATGCCCCAGGCAGGAGCTCTGTGCCCAAGGCACCAGCACACCCCAGAGGAGCCTCAGCACGTCCCAGAGTGTCTCAGCACACCCCAAAGATGTCTCAGCACACCCCAGAGGAGCCTCAGCACGCCCCAAAGGAGCCTCAGCACGTCCCAGAGTGTCTCAGCACACCCCAGATGTGTCTCAGCACACCCCAAAGGAGCCTCAGCACACCCCAGAGGTGCCTCAGCACACCCCAAAGATGTCTCAGCACACCCCAGAGGAGCCTCAGCACGTCCCAGAGTGTCTCAGCACACCCCAGATGTGTCTCAGCACACCCCAGAGGTGTCTCAGCACACCCCAGAGGTGTCTCAGCACACCCCAGAGGTGTCTCAGCACACCCCAGAGGTGTCTCAGCACCTCAGCTCAGCCACCAGCCTGGCCTGTCCCCAGCCTGAGGTGATTTGGGCAATGGGAGCTGCCCCAAAGGGGGAATGTACCCCATTCCCGCAGCAGCCCGAGGGTTTGGGGTGAGGAGGGGCTGAGCATCACTCCCTGGCACGGGAGGCAGCCCTGGGAGCGGGGCCGAGGCCAGGCACCTCCCGTGGCTCCTCTCAGGGCGTTTACAGCCCCAGCTGGCCCAGCTGTGTTTACACTGCGGGGATGAAAACTCCCAGGCGCTCAGGGCTGGAGCTGAGCCGTGCCAGGGGGTCCCCAGCGCCCGGGCTGGGCCCCCCAGCCCAGCCCCACCTCGGGCACCACCGCCCCTCTGCCAGAGCCCAGCCCCGCGCGCCCTCGGCCCCACTCGGAGGAAGAGGAGGGATGAGGCAGAAGCTGCCACGACACGACGGGGGAAGCGATTTATTTTCCAGGAGCGGGTGAGGATGACAAGCACCCCCAGCCCCCTCCGCCAAAAGGCCAAAGGAAACGCCCCCTCCCCAGGGCAGGGGGGGACAGGGGCTGGGGCGTCCCAGCTCTCCCCCCAGCGCGGCCTTTTGATGTGTGCTGCAGAGTGGCTGGTGGTCCCTGCGCATCCCCCCTGCCCCCTTCCCAAAACACACACATTGCTGGCATTCCTCTGTTATCAGATAGGTAATCAAACTGCAGCCCATTGAATTAGCTGCATACCTCCTGCATCTGAAAGGAAGGGGCCCAGAGCCCCTGTCCCACACCACACACAAAGCCGGAGCCTTCCCAGGCCTCCACACACCCACCCCCCCCCCCCAAAAAATAAAGAGAGGAAGGGGGGGATTGGAGCGAGCCGGGGATGCTGGGGATGGGGGAGCGCAGGGGAGGGCCGGGAGCCACCGGCCAGCGAGAACAAAGGGCCGGCGGCGGCCGCGCTCCCGCTGCCCAAATTCCAGGAGTTCCAGGCCCCGGCGGGGGGAGGAAGGGTGGCCGGCGTGGCCGCGGGCCCTGTGACCCCCTCCAGCCCCGGCTCCCACCGCGCCGTGCCCGCTGCCCGCGGTGCCGGGGGTGGCTCTGGCCCGGGGGGTGCGCGGTGGCCCCGGGCTCGGGGTGACAAAGCGCTGCCGTCCCGAAGGAAGCGTGGCCCGGCCGGGATTTCCTTGTGTCCATCGGGCCCTGGGTTAAGCGGGGGGACAGGGGACAAGGGGCAGAGCTGGCACAGCTTCACCAGCGGCTTCACTCCGGGCACTTTTCCCCACTTTTCCCCACTTTTCCCCACTTTTCCCCACTTTTCCCCACTTTTCCCCACTTTTCCCCACTTTTCCCCACCCTTCCCTTCCCTTCCCTTCCCTTCCCTTCCCTTCCCCGCATCCCACCCCCGGTTATTTAGGGCGGACAAAGCGCAGCCGAGCGCTGCCCACCCCCCCGCACATGGGTGCCTTCATCCCTCCTCTTCCTCCCACCCAAATCCCTCATCGCGGGTGCCGCACGTCCCGCAGCGGTGACACCGCGCGGCGCCCCGAACCCCAGCGCTGCCCCCCGAGCTGCCGGCCCCGGCTCTCCCCGCCCCGCCGGGCTCCGGAGGGGCTCCCGGGGTCACCATTGTCCCCGCGGCCTCCCCAGCGCGACACAAGGGGACGTTTATTCCCAGGCAGCCCCGGCCACTCAATCAAACCATCTTTGTGTCCAGCGGGGCCTGGGGCGGAGCAGCCGCTGCACCTCGGCCCTGCAGAGCCCTTTAAACTGAGATCCCGCGGAAAACCCGGGATGCTGGGCTAAACCCGGCTGCAGGAGCACTGCTGGGAGTGCCCAGCTGTGCCAGGGCTACATCTGAGCGTTTGGGGCAGCCCAGCCCCGCTGCAGGCACTGCCCGTGCCTCAGTTTCCCCCACTCTGCAGAGGAGGGTCAGGAAAGGCAGCCCAGGGGTTGCTGAGCCGCCGGGGGGGCCATGCCCCCATCACTGGGGTGCCCTGCCCGCGGTGACCTCTGGCTCAGCTGGCACCGTGCAGCCCCCCCGACCCTGCAGAGGATGGTGTCCCCAGAGCCACAGTGTCCCTGTCCCTCTGTCACCTCCTCCAAGGCACCAGCCACCCTGTGGGGGTGCAGGGCAGCCCCCAGGGCCCCCCTCAGCCCACCAGGACCCCCAAGGGCCACCCCGGGGGCTCAGCCCAGGGGGTGACAATTGCCCTTTGCCCAATTCTCCACCACGGGTCCCCCCACGGCCACCGGGTGCTGCCCCCCCAGCCCTGGCACAGCAGCTCCCCTCAGCTGGGCACTGCCCGCTGGCAAACACCCCCGGGGCAGACTGGGCAGGGCTGAGCTCTGCCAGCACGGAGCAGCGACCGGGTGCCCAGCCCGGCAGGGAATTGTCCCTTTGCCCTCGCAGCCCGGGCCCGTCCCTGTCCCCAGATCTCGGAGCAGATCTCTCCCCGCTGCCAGAAGCTCCAGGGACGGTGCTGCTGCTGGGTTTTGGCTCAGGAGGGAAGGCTTGGAACCCCCCCCGGTCCCCCCACACCCCCGGGGGATGTGCTGGGCAAAGGGGGTCCGGCCCCAGCCCGGGCTGGTGCTGAGATAAGGAGGGCGATGCCTTTGGAGCCCCCGGGGGGAGCGCAGAGGATTTAACAAAACACCCCCGAGGCTTTCCCCTGCCTCCCTCACCGTCATCTGCAATGTCCCTAAGGACCCCTACCGACCTCAACTAAAATCAAAATAAAGACATTTCCCTGCCAAAGTAACGATGTTTGCTCCCAATTTTCCACCACAACCCAGAAAAATTAAACTCTAGATACCAATTCCGAGGGGAAAAAAAAAAAACCAAACCAAAAAAAACCCCACAAAAACCACAACCCAAAAGGCATCTACCACAGAGTTTAATCCATCAGTTTCCTGTCCTAAATCCTTTTAGCTCCTTTGGTTGTATTTTTTTTTCCCCTCACCAAAACCCTCCCGCACTTCCCAGGGGCAGCTAATTGGGATCAGCGGCTGCGTATTAATTTTGTGCTCCCGTCTGAAAGCAGGAGCACGGCCCGGAGCGGCCGCGCCTCTCCCGGCGATGATTTCAGCTCCATCCCGCTAATTCCTGGGAGTGAGGGGACGGGGAAAAGGGAAGGGCAGAGCTGGAGGTGGGGGCGGCAGGACAGGGCTCCATCCCGGAGCAATCCCATTCATTTGGGCCGTGTTATCCCGGAGACCATTGCAGGGGTTTTCTCTCCCTGGGGCAGGGAGGGGGAGCTGGGGGAAGGGATGTGCCTGCGGCCATCAGTTAATCTTTAGACAGAGACAGGAGGCTTTTTTTGTGTGTGTGTGAGCGTCTTGAGGGAGTTTCAGGGGTGGAATAAAGCCGCTCTCTTTCAGAATTTCCCATCGGGACGCGGCGCGCAAGTGGAGCAATACAATTTAATTCCGGCGGTTATTTTAAAAAAAACAACCCTACAGAATAAACAAAACCAAAGAAATTGCTACTACCCCTCTCCCCACACACACAAAAAAAGCAGAGATTCCAAGGAGCATTTCTCCCCCAGGGGATCTCTGCGGGAGTTCCCCGCTCCTTGCAGGGGGGTTGGACTAAATGACCTTTAAAGGTCCTTTCCAGCCCAAACCAATCTGTGATTCCACGATCTCCTTCTCCCCCGGGGATGTGCACCTCGGGTGCCCCCGGGCTGGGAGTGACTCTGCGGAGCGAACACAGGAAAAGCGAGATGTTCCCGTGTCCCTGGAGATGGAGCATGACGGATTCCCCCTCCCCTCGATGCCCCCAGCCCCGCTGGGATCCTGCCCAGCCCAGGCAAGGCTGGGTCCTGCTCCCTGACAGAGGAACTGTCCCTCGTGCCCTTCTGCACGCTCACCCGTGGAGCTCCCTCCAAACACGATTTTTATTTTTTTTAAGGCCTCACGTCACGCTCACGTGGATGATAATTTATATTATCCTGGCACAGGTGGGTGACAGCCCAGGTGGGCTCAGCCAAACCCGTGTCCAAACGGGTCCAAACTTCCACCCCCGTTATCCCATCCACCCCATCCCATCCCTGCCCGGCATCACGGGGGACAGGAGCCCCTCCCGATGTCCCCAGCGGGTCCCATGCTGCCCGGGGAGTGCCACATCCCAGCCCCAGCAGGCCAAACCCCGGGCACAGCTTTGTGTCCCCACAAGGACACAGGACTGAGGTGCCAGTGACCAAACCCTGCGGGCACGGTGCACAATTTCTTGCTAAAACCACGAGAAGGAACAAAACCACCCAACGAACTGCATTTGTCAAGGATTTAGATCTTCTGGCTGGGAGAAACGCCTGGAAATGCAGAGCCAGGCTGTGGAGAGCAATGATTTCCAGGCAGTGGACATGCTCTTCCCCTCTGCCCCAGCCAGAGCCCAGCCCAAAACCCAGCCCAGCTCTGCTCCTCAGCTCCAACCAGCGGCACCGAGCCTCGATTTTCTCCTTTCCCTCTTTCCATGTTTCCTTCCCAGGCAGCTCCACACTCCTGTGAGTGATGCTCAGAGCCCGGGAGCTGCATCCCGAGCACCTCTGGGGTCTTCACCATCACCACCAGCCCAATTTCTGCCACCTCAAGGCCCCCAGCTCCTCAGGGCTGCTGCTCAGCCCTCGGCCTCCCCGGGACGATCCGCTCTGCTCCCCTCTGCTTCATCCCTCCTGTCTCCTCACAGCCCCCAAATGAATCCATCTCCAGTGTCCAGGGGAGGCATTTGAACCCAAATGCCTCATTTTGAGCTCACAATGCGAGGGAAAGGCAGCCCCAAGGAGCCCTGTTAGTCTCCTGTCCTGCCGAGATTTTAATCTCTTTGTGGTCAGATAAAGGCAGAGGGAGATGGAGACGCGCTCCCTGCAGAGAGGGGCCATTCAGACCTGGTTCCTGTAATAAAGTGATTTAATAGATCTAAAGAGGCCAATTCCCTTCTTTCTCCCACAATTACTTCCTGTGGGTCATCATTCACATATGTAAATGAGGAGGGGAAGGAGCGGGGTTTTGAGGGGCTCTGGAGTGTTAAGCCCCAAAGCTGCTTTGGGGTGCTGGGTGCTGGGCAGGGCACAGCGAGCCCTGAGCCTTGGCCCCGTGGCTTTTGGTGGCTTTTGCTGACTTTTGGTGGCTTTTGGCTGCTTTTGCCCTGGCAGCCCTGCCTCCCTCCCCGGGAGCGGAGCCGACTCGGGCTCTGGGGAAGGGCCGGGGTGTCGGGGTGGGGACAGCACCGGCACAAGGACCCGGCTCCCTGCACGCCACCCCCAAAAGCAGCGAGGCCGCGGTGGGAGCGTGAGCTGTTCCCTCTGCCGGGAGATGCTCTGCGCTGGGAGAGACCCCGGGAGCAGCTCCGGCTGTTTCTGCAGGAGAGCAGAGCCTCTTTGTGCCACGGAGCAGGAGAAACCCGACCCGCATTGAAGAATTCTCCATCAGCCCAAAGCTGCTGCTGGGGCAAAGCCCTTTGCTGCAGCAGGGGAACCCCCCACGCCCCCGGCCCCTCTGCTACCCCAAAATAAGCCGCTTTTCCCGAGTTCCCCGTGCTTCCCAAACGCTGCAACCTCTGGGATCGCACGGCTCCCCCGACCCGAGGAACCGGGGGGCACCGGGAGGCTGCAGGCAGTGGGATGCTCCCGACAGAGACACCCCAGCTAATTCCCTTCCCCTGCAGGAATGCGGGCAGGAGCAATCAGGAAACCAGACTGTCTGGGGGCAATAAAGCCGCAGGAGCGGGGAGGGGGGCTCTCCCCGGGAGCGCTGGGTCCCGCTGTGCCGCATTGACATGCAAAGGCCCATTTGCTCTCCGGAGAACACCAGGATCTGTTTTCCCCCGGCGGATTTGGAGCCCTTGACTCCAAAACCAGCTGTGCCTGGGAGAGCAGCTCCTACCAAGGCGCTTTGCCCGTGCCACAGCCAAGGGAGAAGGGACTAGCATCTCCCCTGGCCATCATTTCATCGCCAGTCCTGCCTGGAGCTCCAGGGCAGGGAGTGAGCGACCCTGGGGAGCCCCTGTTCCAGGAGTTCCTCAGCGCCCAGAGCTCAGCCCTGCGCCCCCAGCCCCCAGGATGGACCCGGTCCGGGGGGCTTTGGACCCGTGAGGAGCAGCAGCCACTGCGGGCGGCTGCTCCGGGGGCTGCCCGGAGCCAGCACCGCGGCGCTGCTCTCGATCAGGGGCACAAACCCCCCGTGTTTGCCCCCAAAACACCCGTGCCCCCTTCGCTCGTGCTCGCTCTGCCCCCCAGCCGCTGTCCCGAGGTGGGGGGCACCACACGAGCCGCGCTGGGCACCGTCCCCAAACCCCTTCCCCAGCCCCCGGGGCATCTCCGGCGGATCCTCCCCCGAGATCCGGGGCGTTCCAGGAACTTCAGCCCCTCATGCACGGCTTCCCCGGCTGCAGGGTCCCCGGCACGCGTGGTCAGACCCGGGCACGGCGCTGTCACTGTCACAGCGACCCGCAGGGACACAAACGCGACGCCTTTGTGCCCCCCGCGAAGGGACAAAGGGCTCGGGCTGAGCTTCCCGGTGCCGGGCTGAGCTCCCGGTGCCGCATCCCGGCCGGGCTCGGGGCTGCCGGGCTCGGGGCTACCGGGGTAGCACGGCCGGTTCCCCGGGTCCCTCCGTGTCCCCGCTGCGGCGCGTCCCGCGGCCACCTGCTCCCCGGCCCCGAGGGGCCACCCGGCCGGCGACGACGGCAAAATGAAATCGGGGTCCCCGCAGAGGAGCCCCGGCGGGCTGGGGCGCAGGGGGGTCCCCACGGCTCCTCCGTGCCCCGAGGGGCTGCCCTGCCCTCCCCGGCCCCCGGGCCGTACCTGGTGCACGAAGACATCGACGGGGGCGTCCAGCGTGGCGCCGCCCTTGGCGGTCATGGAGAGGAAGCCGAAGCCCATGCGGACGTTGAACCACTTACAGATGCCGGAGCCGTGCAGGGGCTGCGACTCGTTCTCGGCCTTGGGCGAGTCTCCGGCCGGCTCCTCGCCCGGCTTCGCACCTGGCGAGAGAGGCACGGAGCCGCTGAGCCGCGGGAGCCCCCGGCCCAGCGCCCCCCGCCAGCACAGGAACCTCCGACCCGGCTCGGGGTGCCAGGCTGAAAACGCCAAAAAAACCCCCAAAGGTGCAAAAAAAAAAAATCAGAGAAGTGAGCTCTGCCTCCACGTGTGCACGGGGAACACCCCAGGGAACGAAGGCAGCTCCTGCCAGCACGACCCAGGCGGTGCGGGGAAGGGGAGCCCTAAATCCGTTTCTCCCTCAAAAACGTTAAAAACGAAAAAAAAAAATTTAAAAAATCCCAGACGCACACACACAAAAAAAACCCCAAAACAAACGAGTAAATAAAAAAATAGCCAAGTAATTTTTCTAAAATCAAAATATTAAAACGAAACTTTTAAAAAGGGAGAAAAACTCCCCCAAAATACCAACCCGAACCCCCCCTGCCCCCAGCAAGCCACGATGGAGAAACTCTCCCTCACCGTCAGCATCCCCCCCTCGCACCGTCCCACCCCCGCTCCAAACACCCCCGGCCCCAAACTTCTGGGGTCATCCTGGGGCTGGAGGGGGGATAAAAACCCCGAGAAACCCCCCCCGAGCCCCCGGCGCTGCCGGGGCAGGGGCGCCCGCCGGGCCCGGCCGCGCTGCCGGGGCCAGCGGGGCTGGGTGGGCCGGGGTCGGGGGGTCCCTGCGCCCCCCGGCCGGGCTCTGCCCTCGTTATTAATAATCGCGGAGCCGAGGCGGGCTGCGACAATAATATAACTTAACCTGCAAACTGCTGGTTGGAAACAGACCCCATCCCGACACTCGCTTGCAAATTCCGAGTTGTGGCTGTTACCGCCTCCTCCCTCCTCCTCCTCGGCCAGCTTTGAGGGTATCAGGCCAGCCAAAAAAAAAAAAAAAAACCAACAAAAAACCCAGCTTAGACCCCGCCGGGAGGGAGCCGGGAGAGGTTTGACTCCATCTTCACTCCAACAATAGGGGTGGGAGGGAGCGGGAGGGTTTTTTCAAAGGCTCCCAAATTCTCGCAGACAATAGCAGCCCCCGCCCCCCCCAGGACCCACCCGCGGGGCCGGGGGGCGCCGGGCCCTGCTCCGCCACCCCGCCCCACGTGATCCTAATTAACCCCCCCGCTAATAGCGACACATTCCGGGAGGGATTTGCAGCGGGGGGGCTCTGCGGGGTGACCCCCCCACGCTCAGGGCACTTCGGGGCGAGGCCACCTGTCAAGGCAGGAGGTGACACCCGGCCGGGGGGGGGGGCGCACGCGGGACCCCCGCACCCCGGGGCAGCCCCCGCGTCCTTTCCCCCCGCGGGTGGAGCCACCTGCGGCCCGGTGGGACGGGGGAACCGGCAGCGCGGCTTCCCGGGACCCCGGGGGCTCCCCGCCGGTGCCCCCAGCCCCACGGCGCGCCCCGGGAGCGGGGCACGGTGCGAGCCGCGGGATGGCCGCCCCCGGGGCCGCGCTGCCCCCCGTGCCGGGGCGGTGTGAGCGGGGCACCGGCGGGCACCGAGCGCTCACCGGGCGCGGCGGGGGGACCGCGGGGGGACCCCCGGGCCGGGCCGGTGCTGGCGGTGAAATCCCGCGTGGGGAATCCCCGCGCGAGGGCTCCGCCGCCCGCGGGGCCGCTGCCGCTGGCCGCGGTGCTGAAACACGGCCCTGTCCAGGGTCCTGGCGCTGCCTTCCTCCCGCTGCCTTCCTCTCCCTCCTCCCGCTCCTCTTCTCCCTCCCGCTGCCCTTCCTCTCCCTCCTCCCGCTCCTCGTTGCCCCTTCCCCACAGAGCCGAGCAGCCCCCTGGACCCCACAGGAGGATGGCAAAGGGGGAGGAAGATGAGGAAGAGGAGGGTTTTTCACTGCGCAGGCACCCGAGTGAGTGCCGGGAGCGCCCCAGCCCGCCGGGACTCGGCCCGGGTGGATCCGTGCCCCACACAGACAGGGTGGGAGGTGCCACCAGTGCCCCCCGCGCGGTGTCACAGCGTGTCCCCTCACCTTCACCCCGCTCTCAGCGGGCACAAGCCGGGCCGGGAGGACGCTCAGCCGATCCCCAGAGCCCAGGGCAGGGCCTGGCCGCTGCTTCCTGTGGGATCCCCGCTGCCATCCCTGGCCAGGCTCTGGCAGCCGCAGAATTCCCAGTCCGGGACGGGGCTGGTGGAGGGGACGGGGCTGGTGGCAGTCCTGGCAAGAAAGAAACCGCCGTGCCTGTCCCTGGTCCATCCCTCTCTCTGCTGGCACTCACAGCGGCCCGGGGCCATCCCGGGACTATCCCGGGAAAATCCCGGCAGCAGGAGCGCGTCTGGCCCCCTCTCCTGGCTGCAGGGGCTGCACATCCCTCCTCGTTTTCCTCTCGGCTGTGGGATAACTGGGGCAGGAGGGGAGGAAACAACCCCCCATCCCCACTCATCCCTCTCCCATCCCGCTCCTGCCCGGCTCTCCCGGTCCCGCCGGGATGTGGGGAGGGCGCAGGCTGCACGGTGTGAAGGATCTGCAGAGGAACGAGCCCTTTCCTGCCTTCTCCACCACGAATCCACCAGAAAACACCCCCCAGCCTCCCCCTGCAGGCCTGTCACGGACAGGGCTGACAGCAGCGGCCCCAGAGCATTTTCCTGTAACTATTTGGAGGCAGCAGCGACTCCCTGAGCACCCGCCGGGTTCTGCCCGGCCTCGGTGCCTTCCCAGCCCCGTCCCCGCTCAGGGCACTGCCACCCTGCCCGTGCCACCTTCCCCGCAGCACGCCGGGCCCGTGGCACATTTCTGTGTGCGCTGTGTTTGTTTTCGGCTCCTGTTGAGCGGCGAGCGCGGAAGGGAAGGGACGGGGACTCCTTCCTGTTCTTTCAGAGCCGGTGGCTGTGCCCTGCTCGGCTTCAAGGGGAGAGCCGGCAAAGCGGCCGCTTTCACCAATAATGGCTTCATTAGATTGAAAGAAGTGGACAGTGACCTCAGTGAAATGGACTTTGTGACCCCTGCTGACCTCTGGCCCCGGCTCTGACAGCCTGTAAATCTTCCCCCCGGCACGGCCGGGGCGAGGGCAGCAGCTCTGCGAGCCCGGTGCCGGCGCTGCTGTCCCCGGGCCGGACCCGCCGAGCTGCCCCGGGGCTCCACCGGGCGTGACCCGGCAGGATGAGCCCTGGAGATGGGCACGAGATTCACAGCGCTGGCAGAGATGGGCACCGGTGTCCCCAGGGCGCTGCAAGCCCCTCCAGGGTCCTGAAGGGCCGTGGAAAAATGATCTTATCTGAGCTGAGGCTCCAGCGCCACCTCCCAGCGCTGCCACTGTCACCACTCTCAAAATTCGCAGCTCAAAAGCAGCCTCCGAGCTCCTGCCAAGGAAAACTGATCCCTCTCCCTGCCCGCCCCGCAGGCACAGCCCCGCTGGCCGCACACAGACACACAAACCTCCTCCGAGCCTCTCCGAGCCCACCTCCACCCCCTCCTGCGGGCACAGACCCGTCCCTCCAGCCCCCCACGCCTCCTTCCCCACCCACCCAGCCCGGTGGCCACTGCCCCGTCCTGCCAGCCCATCTGCTGGTGGGGAAACTGAGGCACGAGTAAGGCTGGCATTTCCCCCTCCGTGGACCAGCCCAGGGCTGGCAGAGTGTCCCTCACACCCCCCTCCCTCCTCCCCACCCTTCCACGCTCGCCGCTGACCTTTGGCTACCAAGCGATCAATAAAGGAGCCACGGAGCTGCTCCTCCCCTCCCCGGTCCCCGCACCCCCTGCTCGCCCCGTGCCTCCAGCGGGACTGAGGGGTGTCCCGGGGCTGGGGGGACACCGGCACAGGCGTGCTCCTCAGCAGGCAGCGCCTCCCCAGCCCTCCAAAATTCTCCCCAGCGGCTTCTTTGCAGCTGGGGGTGCCCCAGAGCTCTGGGGATGGAACGTGGCCATGCTGCTCCATCCTGCTCCATCCTGCTCCATCCTTCCCCGTGCTGCTCCATCCTGCTCCGTGCCCAGCTGGGCTCCCTGGGCACTGGCACCCGGCAGGGGAGGGTGAGGAGGGTGAGGAGGGCTAGGAAGGTGAGGAGGGCTCCTGAGGGTGAGGAGGGTGAGGAGGGCTCCTGCGGGTGCCCCGTGGGGCTGTGCCCGGGGCCAGGCTCCCCCGGCAGGGCAGGGGGCAGATCCAGCCCTGTCCCCTGGCCTGCAGGGATGGGCTGTGCCCAAATTCGGCAGCTCCCGCCGATGGGAGCCCCGGGGCAGCGGCTGATCGATCGCTCAGAGCGGGCATCGATCAGCGCCTCAGCCCATGCATATTCCTGCTCCCTGATAGAGGGGAATCGACAGCTGAAGGATATTCCTCAGAGGCTGCAGACCCCCCCAGAGCAGAGCTCACACGTCTTGCCCCTTAAATTCCCCCAGCCCTGTTCAGACCTCACTCCCCCAACAGCAAACCCAGGAATGGGGGAGAAAACTGTTTTGGGGGAGCCAGGAGGGCGCAGCAGCATATTGAGGACAGGCAGAGCCTCTCCTCCAGCAGCTGGATCTCACCTCCCAATGCATCGGCCTCTCCTGCATCTTCCTCCTCTCGCTGGTGGCCTGGCAAACAGGGTCCTCGTCTTTCCTGGGGGCTGCAGAACCCCCTTCACAGCCCAGCTGCCAAGGACGCTGGGCTGGCTGATCCCTGCCGAGCCCTCCTTGCCCCCGAGCAGCAGCGGCGGCTGCCCCGGGGCTGAGGGCTGGAACGGCACCGCAGCTGTGGCCAGAGCAGGGGGACACGAGCCTGTCCCTGGGGTCCCGCCGGGACGGGGACAGGCACCCAGTGTCCCCCGCGGGAGGGGACACGGCTCACAGAGGGGTCCTTTGCCTTTTTTCCTTTTCCTTTTCCGCTCCGGCCCTCCCGTTCCCCCCGTCGGGAGGGACGATGACCGCGGGGCGCCCCTGCAGCCCGGGGGGACTCGGGGCGCTGCGGGGCTCCCCCGGCCCCGTCTCCGTGCCGAGCCCGGCCCCGCCCGTGCCCCTCCCTTCGCACACAGTGACTCAAAGCCCAGGCTCGCCCCGGTGTCCCTCCAGTTCCTCCAGTGCCCGGGGAACTGGTTTGCTGCGGGGGGACCCTGCCCAGCGCTGACTAAACGCTGCCCGGCCGGTGCGGGGGCTGTGAGGGAGCTCCCGCTGGAGGCTCGGCTGGCTGGGCACGGACACCCACCCTGGCACAGCCTGGCACAGCCTGGCAGACGCGTGTGCTCCCGCACCGAGCCAGCCCGGACCCCATCGCTGCCGCTCCTGCGAGCACCGGGGGACGCAGGGGGCACACCCCGCTCCCGTGCCCGAGCCACCCGTGGGGCAGCCGGTCCCCGCGAGGGTGCTCAGCCACCCTTGGGGGCCCGGCGAAGGGCACGGGAGGGGATCGGGGACCGGCCAGAAGCCGGCAGAGGGAGTTCGGCTGTGCCTCAGTTTCCCCAGCACGTGAGCGGTGTCACCCAGGGCAGGGTGGCCCCAGCCGGAGCTGAACTGTGGCCACCTGCGCTGGGCTGGCGGTGGCCGGGGAGGCTCCTGGGCTGGGCCAGCAGCCGGGAGTGGTGGCCCCGGGCAGAGGCTGGCACCGCAGCGGCTCCCGCGGGCCGGGGCGGAGCGGGAGGGCAGGGGAGGGCACGGGGCGGGTGCGGGCCCTGCTGCGCTCCCCGCCCTGCCGGGACGGGGCCCTGCGCCCCGGGCCAGGTCTCCTGCGGTGGCCCAGGGCTACTGTGATGGCCACGCCGTCCCCAAACCCGTGTGAAGCCCCTGGAGAGCCCCAGCCCTCCGAGACCTGGGAGATGTCCCCGCATTCGGAGCCCCTCGGGAAGGCGCTGCAGTGCTGGGGGCTCCGCGTGGGACCCCCGGGAAGGGGAATGACCTGGGGCGACCCCAGTCCCGCGGACCCCCAGCCCCAGACCTGCGGACCCCCAGCCCCGCGGACCCCCAGCCCCAGCCCTGAGGACCCCAGCCCCTCAGCGCCCTGCTGGGACCCTGCCAGCCCCCGGCCCGGCCCCTGGTGCGGGCACAAAGCGGTCCCTGGTGCCCCGACCGGGGTTCCCATCGCCTTCCACTCGGTGGGAGGTGGGATGGAAGTGCGGGGGGCCCGGAGCCACCCAGGCCGGCTGCGCTCCCTCCCGGCACTGCTGAGTCGGAGGAAACGGGGGGAGCCGGGTCTGGAACCAGCCTGACCGGCTCCCCGGCTGTCAGCACCTGAGGAATGCCAAACCTCCGCTGCGCCAGGGCTGGGTGCTCAGGGCTGGGTGCTCAGGGTGACTCTGCCGGTCCGCCCAGCTGTGCGGTGTGCAGGGAGCAGCCCCGCGAGTCCGCTCGGCACGGCACGGCGCGGCACGGCACGGCTCAGAGCCCGGCCGGCACGGCGGGACCCTCGGCCGGCAGGTATGGGGGTGCAGGGGGCACAGGGCGCTGCCCGGGCCGGCAGAGCTGGAGGGGAAGGGGCTCCGTGCTGCCGGGGAGCGGCACCGGGGCTCCCGTGGCACCGGGGCTCCCGGGGAGCGGCACCGGGGCTCCCGTGGCACTGGGGCTCCCGTGGCACCGGGGCTCCCGTGGCACCGGGGCTCCCGTGGCACCGGAGCTCCCGTGGCACCGGGGCTCCCGTCCCGCTGCCACCCGCGGGCTGCCCGGCGCTGGGAGCCGAGCCCCGGCTGGGCAGGTGCTGGGATGGGTCCCGGCTTCCCCAGGAGCAGCAGTGGCCAGGGAGGGGGGGATGGGGCGGGAGGTGGGGGCTGAGCCCAGCTCTGACCCTCTCACCCTGAATTTGGGGGGCTGCTGGGGTTGTAATCCAACCCCTGCCAGCACAGTGCACCCCAAGAGGTGCCAGAGCGAGCCGGGGCTCCTGCACGCCTGCTGGCCTCACGGCCCGGGCTGGGGGGACAGCGGGGCTCCCCTGTCACTGCTGTCCCCCCGTGCCCATGCCCGGGGGTACAGGGGCAGCAAGGGGGCTCCCCTGCCCTCCCCGTGAACCCCAGCCCTGCAGCAGGCACCCAGCCCAGTCCCGGTCCTCCTGAGGGTGGCAGGCCAGCGCTCGCCCCGCGGTGACCGCGCTCAGCCCGGCGTGGCCGCAGGCTCAGCTTAATCCGTGCTCAGCGCTCAAAGGCAGCCGCAGCTGCTGCCCTCGGCCCCTCCGTGTCTCCCGAATATTAAACAGCCTTTGATTTGGGTGCTGGGGACCCTCTGGGGTGATGGGAGGCAGAGAACGAGGTCAGCTCAGCTCGGCTCGGCTTGGCTTGGCCGAAGGGGATTCATCAGAGCCGTGCTGGGCGCCCCGGTGTGGCAACAGCGCTGGATCCAGCCTGGCACGTCCGGGCAGGCAGGGATGGCCAGCAGCAGCAGCCAGGGAGCTGCAGGGCCTTGTCCTCCTGCCCTTGCACCCTCCTGTCCTTGACCCATTGCTGCAGAGGGAATTACAGCAGAGAATGTGGTGCTGGGGCAGAGCAGGGCTCGGGGTGAGCTCCCTTCCCAGGAGCTGGGGCATCCAGCTGTGGGCATGGGATGGGAAAGGCAGACCTGGAGATCTTTGGAAATGCAGCTCCAGGTGAGAGGCAGGATGCTGAGTCAGCAGGTCCCCCCTCCTCCCAGCATCCCAGTGTTGCACAGAGCCAGTGTCCCTGTCCCTGTGTCCCTGTCCCTGTGTCCCTCTGTCCCCGTGCTGTCCCGCAGCCATGGGCACGGCCAGTGCATCCATCCCTCTTCCACTGGAGGATGCCATGGCCCTGGCACCCAGCTGTGGCCCTGGGGATCCAGCTGTGGCCCTGGGCACCCAGCTGTGGCCCTGGGCACCCAGCTGTGCCCATGTGGCTCTGCAGCCCCACCCAGGCTGGTCCCAGCCTCCAGCGGTGCTGGCTGCCCCAGACAAAGTCTCGTCACCTTCCGGGAAAATGACACAAACTCTTCCTATCTGTTCTGGAAAGACCTGCTGGGCCGGGGAGAGCAGGATCAGGAGGGCTCCTGGCGGGCTGGCAGAAGGGGCAGGCAGCTGCCTGTACCCGGCCCTTCCCCGCCTGCCCCGGCCCCTGATGCCCTTGGGGAGTGGGAAAACCCAGCCCAGCGCTGGATTCATCCCACCCGGCTGCTGCAGGAGGAGCTCCTCCCCCGAGGTGTCCCCCAGGGAAAGCGGCCCCGGGGCTCGTGCAGGGAGGAGTCCCCATTCCTGGATGGGGACCTTAATCCCAGCCTGTCCCCGGGCTGACCCCAGATCCCCGTCCCTGCCATTGTCCCCAGCTGAGCGGTGACACCCAACAGCTCCTAACTGGGAGACGCTGGGACGTGGGTGCACTCCCAGCTCCCTCCCCAGCGCCTGCTGTGTCAGCTGCTTCCAGTCCCAAACCCAGCAATAAAACCTTTCTGGGGCAGGCATGTGGCCACAGCGCGGGGACTGTGCTGGCATCCCCCCAGGCCGAGGTGGCACTGTGT